GAAAGGGGGGCAGGAAAGAGGGGTGTGTTGCCCGGAGAACAAAGGAGAGGCTGCTTGCCTGGCTGTGTGGCAACAAGGATTTCCTTTCCTCTCCTCTCCTCTCCTCTCCTTTCCTTTCCTTTCCTTTCCTTTCTCTCGACCGAGTCAGGTGGAAACCGGGGGGAAGAGATGCCCCTCACCTCCGAGGAGCGAGAGACAGACAAGGCACCGCAGGAATGGAGGGCACGGCCCCCTAAAAGCTCAAAACACTCCCAGAAATATAGGGAAAGAAATAAATCCCTGCTTCCTAGTCGCGCTCCAAATGGAGGGCCATTCTGGACCTTCCTCCTGGGCAGAAGGTTGAAATGGAGGACATGTCACTCTCTGGAAACCGGGGAGCCAGATGTCCTCATTGCAAAGGAGGACAAGGCACTGCAAAATGGAGGGCATGGCCACATACATATATAGAAATATAAATCCTGGCTTCTTAGTCGTGCTTCAAATGGAGGACAATCCTAGACGTTCCTCCTGGGCAGAAGGTTGAAATGGAGGACATGTCCGGGCAAATGAGGAGGCCTAGCCACCAACCGAGGAAAGGGGGGGCAGATGTCCTCACCGCAAAGGAGGACAAGGCAAGTTAAAATGGAGGTCATGACCAAAGAAAACACTCGTATACATATAAATCCATACTTCATGTCCATAGTCCATAGTCATATTGAAAACGGGGGACATTTTGAAATTCCTCCTAGAGAGAAGGTTGAAGTGGAGGTCATGTCCTGGAAAAAGATGTCTGGTCACCCTGTGGAAAGAGGGTGACAGTGTCCTCACCTCAAAGGAGGACAAGGCACCGCAAAATGGAAGATATTTAGGGGGGGAAAATGGAGGGCGTGACCAAATAAAAGAAATACAAATTTGTGCTTCTCAGTCGTGCTCAAAATGAAAGATATCTTGCAATTCCTCCTGGACAAAAGGCTGAAATGGAGGAGCTGTCCTGGGAAAGGAGGACCTCTGGTCACCCAGGGTGGAAACAAAGCAGGTCTTGCCTTGCATTTCCTGACTGAGGTGACAGGAACATGGAGGAAGGGCTCCCTCTGCATGCCTCTTGGGTCTTTGTTCTTCTTGTTGTTGTGTGACCCTAAGGCCACCTTATCATGGGGTTTCTTGGCAAGTTTCTTCAGATCAGGGTTTGCCATTGCCATTGTCATCCTCTAAGGCTGAGAGTGGGGTTTCATGGCCAGCAGGGATTCGAATCCTGGTCTTCCAGAGTGATAGTCCAATGCTCAAACCACTACTGAGGCTCTTGTGTGTGTGTGTGTGTGTGTGTGTGTGTGTGTTTGTGTGTGTTGTGTGCCTTCAAGTCATTTCCGATTTATGACGACCCTAAGGCAAACCTATCATGAGGCTTTCTTGGCAAGAGTTGTTCAGAGGAGGTTTGCCATTGCCTACCCCTGAGGTTGAGAACATGTGACTTGCCCCAGGTCACCCAGTTGGATTCCAAGACCGAGCAGGGATTCAAACCCTGGACTCCAGAGTGGCAGTCCAATGCTTAAACCACTATACCACACTGGCAACCTTTTAGTACCTTTAAAATGCCATCTCAGAAAAGCAGACTTAGGAACCAGGTTATACTTCTTTGTTTAAAACTTCCCTCTAGAAATGAATTCCCTGAAAAAGAATACTTGGTTTGGGTTGAGGAAGCTAGTGGGCCCATGTGTGTTTCAAACTGAAAAATACAAGAACATATATGAAGGGAGAGGCTTTAACAGACAGGGGGAGAAGACAATGTGTTTGTACTTTAGCAGGAGTCTTGGAAAGATTCTGTCCATGAGGTTATGTCCAGGTGTGGCTTGCTTATTTCTTTACCATGTTGATATGTCATGCCGTAACATCAGGTTTCTGAGCTATACAGGCAGAAATGAAACAAAACAAACTGTTAAAAGCATGAAAGGACGAAAAGAACGACAACAGGACAAAGCAGAGCCACCAAATTAAATGTAATAAATATTTAAAAGAATATTTGATTGTTTTATTTTGTTCACCTTCTCGCTGGCAAATTCCTTTGGAGGAGCCTTTAAAACATGAAAACAAAGATAACAACCAGGACAAATACGGTAGGTTAGCTGATTTCAGTTCTCAAATATTCAAATATGAAGATACGGAAACCCAGCAGTAAAATGACTGATGTCTCAAAATAAACCACAGTTCCATTTTATGCCAGCCATCTGCAATGAAAGCATTTCTTCAAGTGGCACAGCACGAGGTGAGGCACATCAGCCAGACTGTGAGAGCACTACACACCCAGCTGTGTGCGAGAAATCCAGAGGCTTTTAACAAGCCTCTTTTTCTTCCAGCTTTCTCCTCCACCACCACCACCCAATCCCTTATTATTTAACACAATCCTTTCCAGACTCACCAGGCATTAAGCACATTAGGGCCTTTTCCCAGCAGTGCTTAAAGTGCTCTTGTGCAACCTTCCTTTGGATGCCACCAATCCTCCCTGCTGCTTTCAGTTAGTTCTGATGGCTTCAATGTGTCATCGCCAATCGCGGTAATTTCATGACTAGGGGCAGGAAGCATTTATGTGTGAAATATTAAAGCATGGCAAGAGAGTCTTATGCAGCTTTCAGTTGATGGCACTAATTGCTAGGGAGCTACACCCAGTTAAGTGTCTCAGGTCTTCAATTCAGAAGATGTTAATTTAGCTCAGCTTAATCTTGCTTTGGGTTTTCCTCATTAATATGCACAACAACAACAAAAATCATTATTTCCTTCACAAATCAACATAGAATAATTTTTCTTTACTGATTGATTGAGAGATTGATTGATTTACTATATGTGCCAACTGCCTTTTTCCAGAATTTGCCAAGGTGATGTCAAGGAAAAGGAAACACTGTGATAAGCAAAAGAAGTTGAAATAATGTACACTTCCAGAAAATAAACTGTAGCAGAAAATCACTCAAATTGAACCATTCTTGTGTCTGTTCATACGGGCGTTGGCCAACTTCTAGCCTGTCGCCTGTCGCCTGAAGTGATTTACCGCGTTTGCCAACTTCTAGCCTGTCGCCTGAATTTGGCACATCAACTGGGCCCATCCAGACTTGAGCAATTCCCTCCACCTGAAGCCCCACTCCCTCAAAGACCAGGCAAATTACTCTAAGTCCCATTTAATCTCTTTCACTGTAAAAGCAGCTCTGTGCTGGGCCAGCACTTAGAGGAATATCTCTTCTAGGTGTCAGGCATCTCCTTCAACAGACGTGCTCTTGAGTGGGACAAAAATGCCAGGTAAAGCCAACACACAATTTAGCCAACACATAGGACCTTATCCCACGGGGCCAAAAGCAGCAAGAATCCACTAAGAATCAGGCGCTATAGCGCTATACATTCCCGGGTGATCACACGACGTCGCTCGGAATCCGCTAAGAATCAGGTGCTATAGCGCTATAGTTTTCCGGGTGATTACACGACGTCGCTCAGAATCCAACAAGAAACCGCTCGGAATGCAGCATCATTCGGGTTCTTTTGAATGTCGGTTTCAGCGGGCATTGCAATAGCGCTAGCTTATCCATAGCGCTATTATAGCGCTAGCGCCATATTTATACTAGCGCTATAGTACTGCAATGATGCTCATATAGCTTTCTTGCCACTTTTGAGAGCAGCGTGGGATAAGGTCCTTAGAGAATCCATTGCTCTGGGCAGTGGGTGATACTAGTGTGAAAGTAGTAGCCACAACATGCAGAGAGAGATATGGCAAATGGGAGAATTAAGCCACATGATACTGGCATTATATACTGCCCTGGGGCAGGTCCAGGGAGGCCCTAATGGTCTCCATGGACCATTTGGTTCCCCACCTACATCTCATTTTGAAAAAGCTAGATCTTAGTCCAACCTTGTATTGTCTACTTTGTCTTTCAGAATAGTCACACCCATTCTGATTGAACATGTATATCTTTGACTGATTTTTGTACTCAGGCATACTTGATATGGTACAGCATTATCTTCTACTGCTTGACCTATTTTGCTGCACTTGATTTTTTTGGCTCTTTCTCGGCAATTTTGTTCTGTTTTGTAATTTGTTGTGTATACTTATTGTACGTGCATGTACACACATGTACATGTCTGTGAATGTGTGCTTTGACTCATATAAAATATGTCACAATCTATTAGTCCTTAAATTGCTACAGGTCTCCACTAGTTTTGTTAAAACAGCTCCACTTAGCTTCTTATGTAGAATTTGAACTCCACTTGACTTATGTTCAGGTATTTCAATTATGGATCTATGAGTTTTGTTTTGTTTTTTCCCCATTCAACCTTTTGAGAACTTAAGTTCTTTCCATCCCAAATATCAATTGAAAATTTTAAGCTTGATGGGGTCCCATGTGGGAGAAAGGCAGGATATAAATTAAATAAATAAATTTTAGTAAATTCTTCAAAACTGGGCCAAAATTATCTCTAATTTACAGGAGCCAAATTCAATAGCTTTTCTGGGCATGCATGGAGAGGCCCACATTATATTTACCTTCAATACAGGTACTAAAGATGAGGGGTGTGATATAAAAAAGGAGGCATTAACCTTAATTCAACTGTATCATACTTGAATGCACTGTCATACCTAGATTTTAAGAGCTAAGCACTGAAGTCAGTTTATCCCTCATCCTGTTTTAATATCCAGTTCTGTCCATCCCAAATACAAAGTTGTGGTTTTTAGTAAATTCTTATGAAATAGGAACTGCAATCTAATTTAACCCTGTATAGAAATGTAATGACTTTTCAGCATTTTCTTGTTAATGTGGAAAATAAATTACACTTTTCCATTGCACTGCTAGGGTTGCTATCCCATTTTCCCTCTTAAGTCTCAAATATGTCATCTTGTAGTTCTCACATTATTATTTGTTCATTTATTTTTATTTAATTAATTTATATCACACCTTTCTCCAAGACCAAGATTGTATTATTATTATTATTATTATTATTATTATTATTATTATTATTAAAATGATTACACTGTTACAATCAACAGGGGTCCAGCATGATATTTAATGCCAATATGTTAAAACAGCTCATAAAATCAATAAATACAAGGAAGGTAAGTGCAAATTATGCTTTGCGTACAATGGTAACATTGAAACTGAAGGCTCACAAAGCATACATAGCTGAAAGCCTGTTGGAACAAAACAGACATTACTGCATGACAGAAATAATGTGGTTTGACACATGAAATAATGTGGTTTGACACTTTAACTGCCACGACTCAGTGCTATGGAATACTGGGAATTGTAGTTGACTGTACTACCAACTGTAGTTTCCAAAATTCCATAGCATTGGGCCATGACAGTAAAAGTAGTATCAAACCAAATTATTTCTGAAATACAGATGCATCCCATGTCATTTCCTTAATGAAGAAATCCTATATTACTATATGAAGGAATTGGAGTGTTTTGAATACACAGCAACCTAGCCTCTCCAGGTGGTGACACATAATGCTGGAACACTGGTTTCTAGTTGTGATTGTACATTACAGGCAGTTTTGTACGAAATGATTAAGTCCTTCAGATGGCAGACTTCTATAATGCCCATCACACAGATGCGCCTCTTACAGCAGACATAAGGGATACAAGACCCTCCTGAAGTTTCCAGTCTCCAGGATGCAATTTCAGTTGACCCTTGCCAGCACAGTAGATGGTGAGAGACCATGGTAGTTACAGTCCAAAAATATCTCAAGGGCATAATCTTTCCCATTTCCAGTTTATGCAGTAGAATTATGCTGTTCTGCCCAGGGACACTAATGCCCTTCAGCTCTTTATCAGACAGAACATACAGTCATTCTACACAAGGGACGCAAATCAGCAATTAAAAATAGGAACACAGAGAAATCAGATTGTCTGTACTTTAAAAAAAAATACAATTGAAGCCAAAGCCTGCAGAATCTGAATTCATTAACCTGACCTCTCATGGTTTACATGAAAATTACAGGACCTCTTTCATTTTTCAATGCAAAGGGAACTCTTTCACTCTTTTGATTGTGTTGAGCACCTCTTTTTCAGTGCCAGAACCATGATTTCTGCTTGGTGTTCCAGTATTATACTTAATGTAGTCTCTTGTTTTAGTGAGTTAATTTGAATGTTTATCTGCCATTTTTCGACAAAAGTTTTGAAATCAGTTTAGACAATAAAAATGAGAAAGTAGTTAAAACATCCTAAGACACCTCGAATTCTAAAGTTACCAGTACCTTTAGTTTTCTACTCATTTTAGCTATTTCATTTTAGCTTAAATTGTAAGCTGCTTTGGGACATATTGGGAAAAGGGGGATATTAATTAATATTCTTCCTTTAGTTTTCAATTAAAATTCATTAAAAATGATAAATTGATAAGTATCTGAGACCATATTTTATTTATGAAGATATTTATACCTCTGTTAGTCTTTAGGCAAGCCTCTGCTTTCCACAAATTTCCTGTTAAAGTTCAGCAGACCAGCCAGCCTGGGATGGAGGAGAGGAAATGTATTTCAAAGAAAGTGTCATCAATCTCTCTCTCTTTTTATCTGTGGACTTGATCAAAGGTGGTTCCCCCCTGCCAATTCTGTGTGAAAATGCACATGTGGCAATATGTTAGCTCAGTAATTCCTAAATTGGGTGGTATGCCCCCTGGGGGTTGTGGAAACATCAAGGAGGGTGGTGAGGGGGGAAGGGGTGGCAGGGGATGATGAGGGAAAATGTGGTGCCCAGAGGCCCTTCAGTCAAAGTATTGGTATGCAAGAAAGACAGAATCAGCAGACTTAGGGTCCATGATGGGGATGAGGGAGAAACATCTTTTTTAGGGTCCCTTAAATCTGCACAATCTGGCTGATCATTTTGTGTGGTGATGTCTGCTGCTATTCACCCGCCCATGCAAGCTCACTCCTTTAACTATGTCTTTCACTAGTAGTGGTGGCGGTGGTCGAGAAACTCTAATGAGGCTTGGGAGCAGGGCATTGCTTCTGTGTCTCTGAACAGCATAATTTTTGGACAGATTGACTGTCTGGACCAAGCAGTTAGAGCACATTGCAGCAGGGGGGAAGCAACAAAAAGACCCTGCTTAAGCTTGGTGAGATTTGTTGGGACATGGCTGGCAGGGTGGTGCTAAGCTGCTGCTCCTGCTTTCTTTCATTGGACAGGCTGAAAGAAAACAGAGCAGAAGAAACAATGGGGGGATACATGAGGCTGTATGGGGAAGGCACATCTTTGGGGAAGGAGGAAGAGGAGTATCTACAGTCAATTCTTGGAAAGAATCCTTTGCCTTGGAGTGGCTCTTGTAGTTAAAACCTCTCCCTTACATTGTCCATGCCAGTCTCCAGTCCAGAACATATGGCCACTGTAAACCGTGCACACACATCATCCACCTCAATGGAGAAGGACTGAGAGCCCTTCTTTGCAGAGAAGAAGCTTCTCCCTTTGCACTTGGTCACCTTGGCAGGAGCAAATGAGCAACTGGCTGAACAGTGACCAACAGGCCACTTGTTTTCATCGGCCTTTGCCACAAGGTTGTCATGAGCAAGAGGTTTCTCAGTCACTGCTCAGCCACCTGCTCAGTTGCTGCTCCCAGAGTGACTGAGTACAAAGAGAACAATGACTGAGATTGGTTGCTTTGAATTTGCAGTAGAACAGTACACCTAATATCAAATCATGGTGGGAGCGCTAGAGTTGTTGGCCAAAAGGAAAAGGGATGGTAATTCAAAAAAATCTGGGGACTACTGCTCCTAATTACTATATGCATGAAAGCATGCATCATTTGAATTTGCCTATACTTCTAACCCTTTCTTTTCCCAACTAGTACTCAAGCATAGAGGAATTGCTCTGGAGATCAACATTATGCTTTGATTGTGTATTCCTGCATGGCAGGGAGCTGGACTTGATGGTCCTTGAAATCTCTTCCAATATGATTTTTATTCCATGTGAGAAATAGGAATCTGACCCATTCTCTGATAATGCAGTGTCTTGGTCTGAAAGCAGATTCTTGCTACTAACTTCTATAACACTGTCTGGGCCTGCTTCACACTACAGAATTACAGCTGTGTCATTCCACCTGAACTGCTATGATTCCATCCTATGGAATTCTGAGGTCTATCACAGGGGTAGGCAACCTTTCTCCTTTAAGGGCCGAGGGACT